CTTTCTTGTTCCAACATCTAGATCCTCCATGAAAACAAAAGAATTTACTCCACCTTTACTTGCAATTTCATAGTTAAATAAATAACAACATAAGCAAAAAAAGCAACTTCTTCTTTTGCTCCAACCAAAATGGAAATTGTAATACAGGTTATCCCAAGATTGCTAATTGCAATTACATAGATATATGGCCCTAGAATTAATCTGTGAGCAAGTTGATCAACACTTCTTTTTTCCCTTTTCTGATCATCGATCATTTAGCATTAGGGTTATGTGGAGAAGAATTGGAAAAAGCAGATTTTTGGTCATAAGTCGACTCATGCACAGGCATAAGTCGACTTATGGTAAGTCGACTTATGTTGGTGCATGAGTCGACTTACGTTCTGTTCTGGATTGTTGGTTTTCGCTCTGCCAAGTCGACTTATCAGGTCTGATAAGTCGACTTATGATCTCTTCTCCAGTTGTTGTTTTTCGCTCTGCCAAGTCGACTTATGCAGACTGTTAAGTCGACTTATGACGGGTTTTTTGGAAAGTTAGAGTTCCTATTTGCAGTCTGTTTGGGTTTCTGTTTTGGTATAAATACCAATACGATTTGAGGGTTTTGTAGGAGAAAATCTGGGGATTTTGGAGCACAGAAAAGAGAGATCTTTCTGAGCTATTTGTTAGGGTTATTGGTTGAGAGTTTGAGAGATTTGTTGGTGAGATTAGTTGGTTCGTTTGAGCGATTTGTAATCTCAATTTGTACTCTCCTTCTCTATTAGTGAAAACCCACCCCCCTTCTTGCCCCGTGGACGTAGGCAATTGCCGAACCACGTAAAACTTTGGTGTTTGTGTTTTGTTTGGTCTTTCTCTCGGCGTTTGTTGGTTTGGTTTCTCAAAGCATCATAGTTGGTTGTTTGTTTGGCTTCCGCTCCGTGCACAACAAGTGGTATCAGAGCTCGGGCAACGCTTGGGCTATTTGGAGGAGTAGATCGCTTTGGAAGTTCATCTAGGGCTTCGTTTGGTGATAAAGGTGGGATCTTTTTTTGTAAAAATCTCGTCTTTTTCAGTTTGGATCTATTTCTCGTTTGTTTCCGCATTGGTTTGGTGGTGCCTTGAGGATTATGGCCGAGAAAGAAGGAGTTGTGGGCAGTACTTCCGGCGTGAAGACCGTCCAAAGCTTGAATATCCACTCAATGAAGATTGATGTGGAAAAGTTCAATGGCACAAACAATTTTGGACTTTGGCGATGCGAAGTCATGGATGCGCTCAACGCGCAAAATTTGGAAGATACGTTGGAGTTGGACGGGAAACCGGACAACATTGATGAGAAGGTTTGGAAAAAGATGAATCGAACGGCGTGTGGTGTGATTAGGTCTTGTCTCACTCAAGATCTAAAGTATGATGTGATCAATGAGACTTCTGCAAAGAAGATTTGGGAGATCCTTGAGAGCAAGTATTTGACCAAGAGTGTGGAGAATCGCTTGCATTTGAAGAGGAGGCTTTACCGCTTCCAGTTGAAGAAAGGAACCTCCATTGGTGATCACATGAACCACTACACGAAGCTTCTTGCGGATTTGGCGAATGTGGATGTTAAGATTGAAGATGAGGACAAGGCGTTGTTGCTATTGAGTTCCTTGCCTGACGAGGAATATGAGACCTTCGTTCTTACTCTTATTAATGGGAAGGCATCTCTTTCGTATAGTGAGGTCACCGCTGCACTTGTGAATTATCAGCTTCGAAAGAAGGATAAGGAGACTTCGTTTGAGCCGGTAGCGGGGGCGTTGGTCGCAAGAGCAAAGGGTCCAAACCGTAGTGGGAGGTCGCAGTCTAGAGGGGCACATCTTGGAGTTCGTAAGAATCAATGTGCCTTTTGCAAAGAAGATGGACATTGGAAAGCCGATTGCCCAAAGTTAGTTGATCGAGCCGGGAAGAATAAGGGAAAAGCTATTCAAGCTTCAGAGGCGAATGTTGTCAAGGCTAGTGGCAACGATTCAGATTCGGATTCTTCGGGCTACTCGTTATCTGCACTGCCGTCAGTTTGTGTTGCCTACTCTACAGAGTGGATATTGGATTCGGGTGCTACATACCACATTTGCCCTAGGAGGGATTGGTTCTCCAGCTTTCAGGAGTTGGAAAGAGGGGATTTCGTGCTCATGGGGAATGATCACAAATGCTCTATTGGTGGTATTGGTACTGTTCGGATCAGGATGAGTGACGGGGTGATTCGGGAGTTGGTTGGAGTGAGGTTCGTTCCTCAGTTGAAGAAGAACATCATTTCACTTGGAGCTTTGGAGGCAGCTGGCTATAGGGTGACCTTGGCGGATGCACGCTTGAAGGTTACATTTGGGTCCATGATTGTGATGAAGGGCGTCAGAAGAAGAAATTTGTATTATTTGCACGGAAGCACGGTGATTGATAGGGAAATGACGACTTCATCAGATTCGGCTAGACTGTGGCATTGTTTGGTGCTGGGGTATATGATTGGTAATACCGTGCATTGGTTGTTGAGGAGTGCTATGACCTGCAGATTGAAGTCCTGTGAGCACATTAGGATGAGCGAGACCGTGGTGGAGTTTGGCACTTCTATCCATCGAGCGAGGGGTCTTTTTGGAGGTGTTCAGTCAGGCATTTGGGGGCCTTCCAAGGAGGCATCATTGGGAGGTAATCGTATCTTGGTTTCCACAGTTGGTGATTGTTCTAGGCATTATTGGGTCGCGACCAGTTCCCGTTGGTGTAAAGTCCTAGAAGTCAACAACAATTGGAAGAAGTGTATTGGCAGAAAGGTAACTCATTGTTTCAGCTTTGGTAGGGGTCCTTTCTTGCGTTGGTGCCGAGCTCACGGCAATAGGAGACACTTCATTGGTGTGGAGACTTTGGGGCGACGAGATGAGATGACAGTTTCGATGGGTCGTTCCTTTCTGGAGGAGGATCGGCGTTTGATGTCGAGCATTGGCATTGGTGTGCGGGCTTCGACATATTTGGGTCATCTTATGCATAGGTCGCCGACTGCTGCTTTAGGAGTTATTAGATCTGGTGGAGCTGCTTCAGATTTTGGGTCGCGTCGGATATTTGGATACCCAGCATTTGGTCACATCGTGGATGTGAGATTGGATCCGATTGCGCGTTTGGGGTTCGGAGGCTCAGTTGATTATCGTTTGGGAGCTTCTGATTTTGTTCTGAGCAGGTATGTCACTTTTGACTCTCGGCAGGTGGAGAGTGTTGATCAGGTCATTTGGATATCGCAGCAGGTGGAGAGTGATGCTACTCCACGTTGGGTGGAGATTACTCCACATACTCCAGATCATACTGCGTCATTTGGGATTCCAGCTAAGGTGACACAGGTTGGAGATCATTTGGTTTTGGATGCAGATGATGGATTGGTTTTGGATTCAGTTGCAGCTGGTAGATATAGTTTGGATATGGCCATTGGTTTACCTCAGGTGGAGGTGTTTGATTTGTCTCAATTTGGGGTCATTGGGAATACTATCAGTTGCAGATCGTTTGGTGATATTGGAGAAGAGTTGCAGACTTTTCTATTTGATTGAGGGCCTTTGGAGGCCGTTTGGGTGAACTACGTGAAGGCTTGATTCCTTGGGCAAAGGATACGTAGGCAGTCATTTTGATGCAGCCGATTTGGTGAGCGACATCGACATTTGGGGTGAGTGTTCACACTCTCATTTGGGTCTCAGCATGTGAGGCATTTGTTTGGTTGGTGTCGGCTCAGTTTTGGGAAAACTTCGCCGAGGTGGAGAATTGTGTAGAAGAATTGGAAAAAGCAGATTTTTGGTCATAAGTCGACTCATGCACAGGCATAAGTCGACTTATGGTAAGTCGACTTATGTTGGTGCATGAGTCGACTTACGTTCTGTTCTGGATTGTTGGTTTTCGCTCTGCCAAGTCGACTTATCAGGTCTGATAAGTCGACTTATGATCTCTTCTCCAGTTGTTGTTTTTCGCTCTGCCAAGTCGACTTATGCAGACTGTTAAGTCGACTTATGACGGGTTTTTTGGAAAGTTAGAGTTCCTATTTGCAGTCTGTTTGGGTTTCTGTTTTGGTATAAATACCAATACGATTTGAGGGTTTTGTAGGAGAAAATCTGGGGATTTTGGAGCACAGAAAAGAGAGATCTTTCTGAGCTATTTGTTAGGGTTATTGGTTGAGAGTTTGAGAGATTTGTTGGTGAGATTAGTTGGTTCGTTTGAGCGATTTGTAATCTCAATTTGTACTCTCCTTCTCTATTAGTGAAAACCCACCCCCCTTCTTGCCCCGTGGACGTAGGCAATTGCCGAACCACGTAAAACTTTGGTGTTTGTGTTTTGTTTGGTCTTTCTCTCGGCGTTTGTTGGTTTGGTTTCTCAAAGCATCATAGTTGGTTGTTTGTTTGGCTTCCGCTCCGTGCACAACAGGTTATGGTTGGAAAAGGTTTCGGTTAGGGTTAGAAGAAGGGTACGTTGGGTTAGAATTAGAGATTTGTATATGTATATCGATCTCAATGATTAATATTCACTAAACTTCCGTTGCCCGAACCCTAATTAATCCTATCTAACATCTAAAATTAATGAACTCCAAATCATTAAGAGTTTTAATTAACTTGCCGACAAATTAATGATCTAGCTAGGATCACATGTGTGATTACAATCCGCAATTTCAGAGTAATTATCTCATGTATATGTAGATGCATAGATCATTTCAGATTCACGCGTGCAGTGTAATTAGAGATCGAGTACTTGATGAGGGTGCCGGAATTAATGTAATTATATAACCCGGCCGGCCCTCTCCTGTAACCTCATGTACTTCATCAATCCAAGGCTAATTAAAGACGTCTCGATCTCCTTCAATTCCCCTTTAATATTTCCACAGTCAAGACTCGTTAATTTGCTTTCACTTCAAACGTACATCCCATCTCCCCTCAACAATATTTATTCAAACAACGTATATACTACATACTATATATATATGATCGATCTTCTTCCCTTAGCTAGCTAATTATTAAACAATCCTAGCTAGCTAAATCGTCTCCATGGACTACGTGCACCCTCATAGCAATAGCCCTCTCAAGTACACCACCCGCGTATCACCTCCTCCGTCGTCTGACGCCGAGCCGCCCTACCCAGCGTCCGCAGAAGCGGAGGCGCTGCCGAACACGTTCAACCGAGTACCTGCACACTGCAGGCCACCGCTCCCCCTCGCCCTCTGCAGCGGGGCCCACGTCCTGGAGTTCTTGAAGTACCTGGACCAGTTCGGGAAGACACGGGTGCACTCCCCGGTGTGCCCCTTCTTCGGGCAGCCCAGCCCTCCGTCGCCCTGCCCGTGCCCTCTCAAGCAGGCCTGGGGAAGCCTGGACTCCGTTGTGGGGAGGCTGCGGGCAGCCTTTGAGGAGAACGGGGGCAGGCCCGAGAATAACCCCTTCGGTTCGGGGGCGGTCAGGATGTATCTGAAAGAGATCAGGGATTTCCAGGAGAGAGCCAGAGGGGTTAGTTATGACAAGAAGAAGAAGAAGAAGAAGAAGATGATGATGATGATGAAAGCCGAGAACCCAGCCGGTGATCAAGTACTAGCTCGTCATGAAAAACACTCCTAGCTCTGATTGATTGATTAATTAGTGGTATGTATGTATTATTTACACGTACGTATAGCTGAACTTGAACTTCAAATTAAACTAACTAACCAATGGTTTTTTTTTTTTCTTGAACCTTAATTAATTATATAGACGAAAGAATTTCTTGAAACAGAAACTGATGAACGAATAAGATTTCTTGTCGATCGGTTTACACTTCCTCTGCCCCCCCTCCCTTCTCCTTTTCTTTGAATGAATTAGGTGGTCAATATCTCAACTTGAATCTAGAATTTTTACAAGCTAACTCAAATCTAATTAATGCCTTCTAACTTAATCAGCTACAACAACAATGAGGAAGGCTTTGTCATAGATTTTTGTGGTCAGTTGCATGAATCCTGTTATTCCAATATCTATTTCTGTAAGCGACTATATATGTCTGGTAAACCGCTTATTTTCAGAATTGATTAATGTATTCACTTTCTCCGATTAATACGCGTGCTGATATTGGTCTAACAAGTTTTATATATAACTATTTGTAACTAGTGTTAAGCCTGCACGGGTATTATTTACCAAGTTATATTTTTTACCAAATTAATATGGTTTTATATATAACTATTTATAAAAACTTTAGCGATAGTTGTTTTTCTCTACGATTAGAGTGAATTTGCAACCCAAGTAACAAAACGATATTATGTCAATTAGCAAGTTTTATCAATTTTCAATAGAGCAAGAAAAGATTTATATTTACGAAATGTCTGATAAAGATCAAATTCATCATTTGTATAAGAAAAAAAAGAAAGTTACCCGAAAAGTGGTTTCAGGGTTTAAAAAAATATTTCTTTAGCTTGAAAGTTGGATAAAGAGCCAAAAAAATTCATTGTAGCATACAGAGCTTGTTTTAGATTCAAAAATTACACTGTAGCATTGAATAGGGGGAAAAGACCATTGCAGGGCCAACAGTACGTCTAAGGTAATTTGAAAATATTAATGTAGTATAAACAGTATTTTTTTTTAATATTCTAAATTATACCGTACAAGGAACAATATGCCCTGTTGTTGTATGAATAGTATTTTTGAGGTCATGCTTCCGGCCCCTAGCTCCGTCGCTCGAAACAAAGCAATTAAGCTAGTTTACCTCAAAAATAGTTTTAGGCCCAGCCACCCGGTTTCGAAAAGTTTGCCTAATTATTGTTGTTATTCTTATTATTGTTGTTATGTTGTTGTTTTTTTTAAGTACACAGGTACGTTTACCCCTCTCTCACTCGCTCACTCTCTGTCTAGAGTACAACTTTGGGAGGGAATAATTAATAGATTTTTGGATTGTTATGAGATCGATGTGGACATAAATAAACTAGTAAAAGAAAAGAAAATCGTGGTGGGCGAGGGGGGGGGGGGGGGGGGGGGGGGGGGGGGGGGGGGGGGGGGGGGGGCGGGGGGGGGGGGGGGGGGGGGGGGGGGGGGCAGGCCCTGAGAAGCCTGGACGTGTCATCAAAACTCCCGGCAAAATTCGCAGCTAGCTCTCATGAAATGAAGTGATCGACGGGCTCAATCTGGCATGCGCTGGCAGACGAGGGCCGGATCGAGTAGGCTTAATTTGACACCCGCACACGTGAAAACTGCATTGCACGTCATATCAATTCCTAGTGTCTCCTCTCTCTCTCTCTCTCTCTCTCTCTCTCTTTTGTTTTTCTCAGCTTTAATTTTTTATTTTTATTTTTTATTTTTCTTTTTTTGTTGCTTTCAGTCTGCTAGCTGCTTCATTTATTTATATGGTTAATTTGAGATCGCACTAATTAACTGATGATTAATTAGTCTCTCTTGTTATATATAATCCTTTGCTAACTATTCCAACTTCAAACTTTTAATTAGGACTGCATATGCCACGCCGAGGATCATGGAGGGAGGTCGCCGGGTGTGGAGATCACTGAAGAGCTAGGATCGATCCTTGAAAGGAGGTGGAGGTCCTTAATTAATTAATTAATCCTTTGATTGATTAGGTGGAGGAGTTATGTGCGTGTTTCTTTGATTGATTAGGTCAATTCCATGTGGTTATTGTCTCAGACCGAGATATTTAATTTTGAAGCATTTATTAATATCTGCAAATTGATATTGCTGTAGTGATATATATATATATATATATATATATATATGAGACAGATAAATGTTTGAATAATATTAGAAAATTAAAACTATTCGGACCGACGTAATATATATTCACAGACTGTGTTATGTAATCGCATTAATAATTGCCAAATATGAAGAATTAGAGATAAATCATACTGATGATATCTGAGCTCTACTATTTGATTCCTCTCCTTTCGTTTAGTAAAATATATAGATTGATGGAAATAAATAGATAGATTTCACCAAGGCTGGTCATCCGCTTTAGCCACGGCTAAATGACACTAAGACACCCTATTATTTCACCATATTTACACTTAAATATATTCTAATTTATAAAAATAACACTTTAACATCATATACGGTAAAAAAAACACTTTAACATCCTAAATTGTAAAAAAAAAAAAAACACTTTAATACCTTAATAAGTCATATTAAAAAAACGATCCTCTAATACCTCAAATAATAATAATAATAATAAGTACTTCATTATTTTCCGTTAGTTGTGAGAACATGCTGATCGGAATTCAGGCTCATCCCCACGGTGTCAGCAGTTTGGGTTCGTGAGCTAGCTAACAGCCATTTTTAAGTCGCGGGGTCCACGAAAGCAGTGATTTAATTTCCGTAGGATTGTGTGATGCATGCGGTGGGCCCCATATATTAGAGCTTCTCCGTTTCAAATGAATTTTGCTGCAAAGTGCGTGTCTGGTCACTTAGGGCTTGTTTGGATTGAGGAGAATGAGGGTGAAGGGAAGTTAGGGGAACCATTCACCTCCATTCATCTTGTTTGGGAACACTTAGAAGATAAATTAGTTAATTCACCATAGTTCCCCTTGGTTCACCCCCTAATACTATAAAATTTGTTACCCTCAAACTGGGGTGTAACCAAGGGGAAGGGAACTCCCTTCCCTTCCCTTCCCTTTTCTCAATTTTCCTTAACTCCCCTTCACCCCCTACAAATCCAAACATGCCCTTAGAATTCCAGGCTCGTCACTTAGAATTCCAGGCGCGACTTAGGAATATGCATGTTATCTTCTAAATTAAATTAAATTAAGTGGGCTAGGTAGAAGGATCCGATCGATAAGCCCTGCAATGATTAATTAAGCTCATGAGGAGTTGTTCTCTGATCAACCTAGCTTCAAAGATTGATGCATGATGAGCTAGCCCTGCGAATTAAGGTAGCATCCTTCCCAAATGAATCCCGTACGTACGTAATTAAGAGTCACAGCTATGGGCGCCTGAAATTTAATTAATTTTAAAAGCTCAGCCTCAGCCTTAATTTTCTCTCTCCAACTTAGCAACGACAACCGGTCACTATCACATTAAATGCATGGTCAAAGCCATCATTGCATCTCCTCCAGAGTCATAATGACTCGTTGGACCGTGCTAGCGCCGTAACCCCTCTTTCACCGTCACAATATATACCAGGGTGATTTGGACCGCTCGGCGCTCGCTACCAACACCTGTAAAGTATCAGTTGACTCAGCCGACTGCCTGGACTCAGCCAGAACTATTCAAATACCCTTCTATATCTAATATAAATAGGCAAGTTGCCAACCGCATAAAGGTCCGCAAAATTCGGCGCACCTAAGAGAACTATATCATTTTATCTCCCCTTCAGAACACAACTGACTTGATCGTCGAATGAATTATCAGAAAACCTAGCTTCGCTCCTCTAGTATGTTGTATGTGTGCATAACTCTCTTCCGCTCAGCAATCAGCCATTAAAGGGGATTAATGGACCCTAATTTTTTCAAAATCCACGCTAAATCCTACTAGTAAACTTCTGACATCAACACTTGCAGAGCCACTTGTTGTGCGCAGCGGAAATTTCGGCAGAGTTTCTGGTGCACAATAAGAGAGAAAGATCGATATAAGAATTCTCGTCTCACCAAGGAGACAAGAATCTGAAGCGGATATCTCAACCAAGTGAGATATCGGCTCTTCCTCTCATCAGTTCTAGGACTGACCTGTCGAGGGATCCTAAAACTATTACAATGGCCACAAACTCAAACAACCAATTTTTACGTGGTTCGGCAAACTGCCTACGTCCACGGGGCAAGAAGGGGGAGATCTACTATTAGAGGGAAAGAATACAACTAGGGTTTACAACTCTCACAATTTAAACCCTCAATTAACTCTCAAATCTCTAACAAAAGGGATACCCAAAAGAAAACCTCTCAAAAGCCGTACAAAAGACTTTTTCTCTTAAAGCCTCCTCTGCCTCCGCACTGTATTGCTCCAAAAGAGAACTCAGCCGCTGCTTTTCCCCAAGCCCCTGCTTCCGTACCTTGCACGCGCCTCCAAGCCTTCGGTTTGCACGCCGCTTTTTCCCTGGCCTTCGCACACGTCCTTGCTGCTCCCTGCAATTTTCTTTTGCTGCCGCCAAAAGAACCCTTCCACTTGCACGAAAACCTAGGGGGGAAACTAGGGGACTATTTATAGGGAGTTATGTACCGGGTGGGCCTTGAGTTTGTCCGCTGAACAAAACCAAAAAGCTATCCCCTTTTATCTCTTCACACGGAAGAGAATGCTGGCCTATCACTACACGTGAAGGTGGACCCCACACGGTTTCACAATTCTCCACCTCGGTGAAGTTTTCCCAAAACTGAGCCGACACCGACCAAACCAAATATCTCACTTGTTGTATCCAGTACGAAGTGAAACAATTCACGACAACGGACTCAATCCATAACAAGTCGAGAACCCAAATAAGAATGCGAACACTCTCCAAATGTCGGTATCAACTCACCAAATCGATCTCACCCCCATCAAAATCCAAAACCCGGCTGCATCATAAAGACTGCCTACGTATCCTCTTGCCCAAGGAATCAAGCCGAACGTAGTTCACCCAAATGGCCGCGAACGACCTCAATCCAATAGAAGAGTTCGCAACCCTTCTCCAATATCATCAACTCTGCGGCTGATAGCACCTCCAATGGCCTCAAACTGAACTAATCCAAACATCTCCACCTGAGATGAACCAATGACCATATCCAGACTACATCTACCAGCTGCACTCGAATTAATCAATCTATCATCTGCATCCAAATCAACACGATTCCCAATCTGTGTCATGTCCAATGGAGTTTTACCTCCAATCACAGCAGTTGACAACTCTTTAATAGGATGACCCAAATATGTCGAAGCCTCTGTCCAGAAACTCTTCTGCAAACCATTGCTCGACCCCAAACACCGATCCTCCTCCAGAAAGGCACGGTTCTCCAAATTTGTCACCCTATCTAGTTGCCCCAAGATTTCCTTTCCAACGAAGTGTCTCGAAATGCCGTGAGCTCGACTCCAACACAGAAACAGGTCCATCTTGTACCTCCCACCAGAATGGAGTACCTTCACCTTTCTGTCTATTACACACTTCTTCAAACTGTTAGAGACTACTAGGACTTTCTCCAAAGGGGATTTGGTTGCAACCCAAACACGCCTAGAACAGCCACCAACAAAGGAAACCAAACGCCTATTACCTCCCAATGATGCCCCCTTGGAAGGCCCCCAAACATCCACGTGAACTCCTCCAGAACGACCCTTAACTCGGTGAATAGAGGTGTCAAACTTCACCTCGGTCTTCTTGCTCACATCAACATGTTCACTGGACTTCAAACTGCAGGTCTTCGCACCCTCTTCCAATCTATGCGAGGAATCAATACTGGAATGGCCAAGCCCCAAATGCCACAGTCTAGTCGAATCAACAGAAGTCGCCAGTTCTCCACCTATCACTATACCTCCAGTCAAGTAATACAGGTTATTCCTCCTGACGCCCTTCATCAAAATACGAGAGTCTCTCGCAATCTCGAGAACCATGTCCTCAACACGAACCTTCAGACCCTCTCCAACCAAAGCTCCAATCGAGATCAAGTTCTTCCTCAAAGAAGGAACATATCTCACATCGTTTAACTCTCTAACAGTCCCGTCAAACATCTTTATGCGAATTCTTCCTATCCCAAGGATCTGGCATGCACGGTTATCAGCCATGTACACCACACCACTATCCACCAGCTTCTCAAAACTGGAGAACCATTCCCTTCTAGGGCACACATGATAGGTCGCACCACTATCCAACATCCATTCAGATTCCTCCGAATAGCTATCTGTAGGACTGATAGAAAGCGAATAAATAGAAGAGTCAGAATTATTACCATCCGATACGATATTTGCTTCTGATGATGGCTGCTTCCCTTTCCCCTTCTGCTTATTCTTCATCCATTCGTCGAGCTTTGGGCAGTCTTTCTTCCAATGACCAGTCTCCTTGCACCAAGCACACTGATCTTTTCCTACTCTAGACTGTGACTTCCAATTCTTTCGGTTTGGACCCTTCCCTCTTGCGACCAACGCCTCCGCTACCGGCTCAACCGAAGCCTCCTTATCCTTCTTTCGAAGCTGATAATTCACAAGTGCAGCGGTGACCTCACTATACGAAAGTGATGCCTTCCCATTAATCAGAGTAAGAACGAAGGTCTCATATTCCTCGTCGGGCAAGGAACTCAACAACAGCAACGCCTTGTCCTCATCTTCAATCTTGACATCCACATTCGCCAAATCCGCAAGAAGCTTTGTGTAGTGGTTCATGTGATCTCTAATGGAGGTTCCCTTCTTCAACTGGAAACGATAAAGTCTCCTCTTCAAATGCAAGCGATTTTCCACACTCTTGGTCAAATACTTGCTTTCGAGAATCTCCCAAATCTTCTTCGCAGAAGTCTCATTCATCACATCATATTTTAGATCTTGAGTCAAACAAGACCTAATCACACCACACGCCGTTCGATTCATCTTTTTCCAAACCT